ATGTTAATGGTTCATTTGACGTAATTAAGTCATAAATGATATCTCAATGTTTACTGTTAAGGTTGATACATTTACATTCATCAACTGAGTAATTTTATATTGACACTGTCTTTGTGCTTCATTTTATCTTTATTCACCTCTATTAAGTGTAAAATAACATCTTAGGCTTCAGTAATAGTGTAGTGAACGAGAACACAAGTTGGGGCAACCGAATTGAATTTAACGAAAATTACAGAGTTACTCAGTAAAATCGGAAAAGCATATCGTAAATCGTTAATTTGCAAAATATCCGTTCATCATATCGAACTGGACTGTTCCTGTTGCAAAACATAAATCCATTGTCACTATTCATGCGTTTCATGCAAATTCCATTGTGTTCTAACTCTTCCTTTCTTGATCTTCCCCCATCTTCTGCTGCCAGACATTGCGTTGACACTCACGTCATATACTACTTATAAGTAGCTCACACCACAATAGTATTCTGTGAAATAACATATTGACCGCTTATTTTCATTGTGAATATGTATTGATTTTTTTAATTTTAAAGAATTTCTCAGACGTTTTTAATGAAAATTCACCCTTAATTAATTTTCAGTAAGCTAAAAGAAGTTAATAACATCTTATGATTTATAACATCTTATGGTTTACTCTAATGACTTGACCCAGCGCTAAAAAAATATGTGGTCATTTTATAAACTTTTCATTAATAATAAATAAAACTGGAATGTGTATGGCTTATAAAATTTAAAGTTTTATAGTCTATTTAGAATTTCTGAAATTGAATAATTTTTCTAAATGAAATCTATCAGACAACCTATTTAATAAACCTCCATGGTAGTCTTATAAAAGGTTAATAATTTGACCTCAAGTTCAAAAAAACAGAACAATATCCATATTTGAGTATTTCTACTTCAAATACACTTTGCTGCAGAATGACTAGCGATTTGGTACGTTCAAAGATTCATGAAATTCTCGTTCCCGATTCATTGTGGTACAATAGAAATTTTCTTATTGATCATAAACATTCTAAACTCCTTGAGGATTTTCTCACAAAGAATACAGAAAAATTAATTACCCATATAGACGGGATTAACACATAGGCTTACATCCAGCTAGTGAGTTCACTTCAAACTCATTTTCCACAGTACTTATGCGTAAATCGCTAACGCCATCTAGAAACAATACATGGAAATTATCCTTACTCAACGTCGCTATCGTTTAAAAAAGAAAAAAGACGTACTGAATGGTTGAATAACTTGCCTAAATTAATTAAATCTTTATTCAAAGCAAAGAATAGTGTACAAGCAACAAACAGTAACTCTCTTATATTTCAGTCAACACAATATTCCAAGCTTCCCACTTCACCCAATTCCGTGTTTGATACAGAATTATGAGTTAACTGGATAATAAGAAATTTGAATTCATCTTAATTTATCTTTATTAAACAAAAACTAATTGACCTTAATGATAATCGCTTGTAAATTTAATTAATCATTCCAAAAACACAGTATGAAGCAAGTAAATTTAGGAAATAATAATTCAGATTATTTATTATATAAATGAACTTGGAATAATTTGCTTTTCATAAGAAATCAAAAGTTACCAGAAAGTTATTTCGTTTTAATTTGGAAACACCAAGGACTTTTCGCACACAACCCCGCCTCAAATGGAACTAAAAGCTTTCCAGACACCAAGTTATTATTAAACACTGATAATGTGATATCAAACTATGTATATGTTCATTTTCAGTGACCTCGTGTTGTTGTTGTTACACACAACCAGTGTAGGTGTGAACTCATTAGATCCGTTACTAGAGTAGCAATTCAATGAAATTCATAAATTTCTAGTAGGCAGTTTCTAAAAGCAAACTCATAGTTTTCAACGCATTTAGTTACATCACAATGATAATACATCTAAAAATGCAAAGATTGAATTTGTAACCTGACATTTCATGGTTTGTACAGTATGGTAAAAAAAAATTATACGGATTAACAAACCGACATGATACAACTAACATGACAATATTTGATGAACAATGTTGTGATGAGTTGGTCGATGATTCATGGATTCGTTTTGTCAAGCATATATATATATATATAAAGTTTAGAGATAATTCACATCAACTAGGAATTATCCAACACACTCTGCTTTCCGTATTTGTATTTGTTTGAGTGTATTTATTGATCGTGTCATAGTATGACTGATAAATTCGCTGACCACATTCCATAACTTGTCTAGATGATCAGTCATTAGTTTATTAGTGCATATTCAATATAATTAAACCTTATGTTTTGTTACTCGTACTTACTTGCTTACTTACTTACTTACTTACTTACTTACTCATTCATGTTACTCACAAGGGAGTATAGACCGTCTACCAGCATTCTCCAAACAACACTGTCCTCAGCCTTCTTATCAAGTTCTACTTGGTTTCCATTCATTCTTTCAATGTGTGCTTCCGATTCTCGGTGCAATGTTACTTGGAATTCCTTTTATTCTTTATCCTTAAGGATTCAAAGTTAGGTTTTGTCTTGAGACACAGTTGGATGTTTTCAGCAATTTGTGTCTTATCCCTCTCCAGAGCGCCATTTCAATTTCTTCCTCAACTAGAATCGGGTTTGTTCACTCTCAAAGTAAAATGTTACTGATGGCGTCTGGTCAAAGGATCCGAAGTATTTTACGTAGACGACTGGGTATAAACACCCGTCTCTTATGGATGATGGCTTTTGCGGTTCTGCCCCGTATAGTAGAACTGTATTGACGTCTGTGTCCAAAACCGTGACTTTAGTGTTGGTTAATAATAGTTTCGAGTTCCGGGAGTTTCTCAATCGTAGAAACGCCCCACTTGATTTGTCAGTCCGCGACTTCTCTTCTGCGTCAGATCCACCTTGCTAATCAATGACTTTGCCCTGGTATATGAAGGTTTCCACATTCTCCAAAGCTTCTCCGTCAAGTGTGATTTGGTTGGTTGCATGTTGTGAGGTATCGATATACCTAGCTTTCTTCCTTGTGTATCACGAGACATGCTGCTGCAGAGGCTGCCGCTGCACCGATCGTCTTCTCCTGCAATTGTTGTTTCGTGTTAAATGTATCAATCGGTCTCCGACAACGTGCGAAAATTCCATGCACTTATATTAATGGTTGCTCCAGTTGTCAGTAGGGTTATCGTTCTCCTGACTTCCGAAGAAATTCGGATTGTATCATGAGGTGTGGGAACTGATGTCAATGAAGACCTACCAACTCTCATGGCATGGGCATAAATGACCTGAATTATTTGTCCGGGTTAGTTCATTTTTAACGATTTGGTTTTCTACGAGATAGTGTGGCTTTGCTGATGCCCATCGCTTCTCGTTTATCAGGGTTTGCGACCGACAGTAATTGTAGAAGGGCTCTGAGCGTGGTTTTTATTAATCACGGTTATAAATAAGGGTTTCACTGATATTTTACCAATTAAAAATCAATACTCTAAATGACAATTTTTTTGAAGTCCACACACAATAGAAAAATACTTCTACTTCTAGAGAAACTTTGAAGCCTGAAATAAGATATTAGGTATCACCAAGCCAATGGAAGTCAGCCTTATTGCTATCTTAAGGTTAGTTGTGTCAGTCAGATATCACCATTGGTTGAAGCTATCAACGAAATTGAAAACTGAGAGTTGAATCTTCGTAATCAGAATTCGGATTGGCAAATTCTTCAAGTGCAATCGACCAATGATTCAAACATAACAGTGACTGACATGATAGAGTATAAATTGTCAAGCGATATTCAATTATGTGCATTTGTAAAATGGGGACTTTCCTCGGACATCTTTATCCAGGATTACTTATAATGACTTTTGGATTGCGCAATCTGTGGTTTTTATTAAAATCATATTATAATCAAGGGTATAATCACAACCGGGTGAAGCCTGAGACCGAGTATACTTTGAATGGAGTAAAGAACTATCGAATATGTCATCTTTTAAAAAGACTTCTAAGCGGACCAGTGTTATGCATTTTGATTGGGATAATATGCGACTCGTATGAAATAATTGCTTGTTATAAAGATGGACGCTTGAAATTTAGACCACATAGCTATCAACATTTTACAATCTATAATGCAATACTACTTCATGGTTTAGCTCAAATTCTTCTTTCTTACAAATTCCCGCATTCATCCAAGTATGTTGAATTTTATTGCTTTTCACCGTTTAGTTTAATAAATACAGTTGAAACAGTTTCAACCGACTGATTCACAATGTTCAATGTACAGTTATTCAATACAAATATCAACACTAGGATACAAGTATTAGACAAATATTTAGACTACACTGGTGGTTACATACCATTAACTTGGTAGTGAAAAGAATACCTTTATATCTGATCAAGTCGTTCATTTCTTCATGGAAACTGGCTTAGTTTAGTCATATTTACCAAATATCAAAATAAACAAACTGTTATAGCTAATAATTGAACTAATTATTCTTTACTACATGATAATGCCTTTCAAGTGACCAGTAGGTGATGCAAATCAAGCGTTCTCGTGTCTGAAAACTGTCTACTAGAGAACACCTTATTGATTTTGAAAGTGATCTAGATTGTACATACAATATACAAGTTTATTACTTTCTCTCGCAGTTCCTCATTCAGTACAAAGTCTCTTGTTGCGGATGTAGTGATCAATCACTGAGCCTAACTATGCGATTGACGAATGTGTACACGATAAAGGTTGACTACTCAGTTATGCTCCAAAAATCAACAGTCATAGCACAAGAAATTACTTTTTTCAAGATAAGCTTGTCCATGGCCGTCAATAAATAAAGATTACACTGTAGAACTAGTTGACTCCAATTACACGGTATACTACTATTAAGGCATTAGAGCACTCAATTTCATCAATATAATTTGTTTACCAAATCGTATAACTATCGTAATTCAATATTTTTGAAAATCGAATTTACTGACTAAAGTATTGTGCATTTACTGCTTAATTTTAGAAAACTTTCTAGTTTATTTCATATGATGCTGGATTTTGCTATACTTATTTTGATGACGTTTCATCTGCACGGACGAACTGCATTCGATACACATGTGCACATTCTTTTGGTCCAAGCAATAATATTCGCAGTTATATCAAACTTTGCAGAACTTATTTCTGATTATAATACAATCTTCAGTTTGATACGCAACTTTTGGTACGTTTTAGTTGGTGCATGGCTCTGTCAGGTGAGTTCTATAGTTTCGGTCCGTCTAAGATGTGTTTCGACCTCAGGGTAGAAACAATGAGATTCACACGATTGAATAAATTTTTCCGTGTTGGGAAAATATGTCATTTCTGTTATTGGTTTTACGATTTCCAACAATAGTATTATAATCAGAATAAAGATTTAACATATTATTTTAACATGAAATTTGAACGAGTGTCCAAAACTAAACAAAATCGAAAGACATAAATACTGACAATTCTAAGAATAAACACAAATAAACAAGTGATCACATTGTCATGTATCATAAGAAAGTCGAGATGAACTGATGAAATCATCCAATTTGGATGGTTTCTGTATAGATTTATTAAGAGGATCAGTTGTACAAGTGTGATATTATCAATGAATGATATTTTCTAAACACATTCGCTCGAGATTAGGCTCTCTGCTAGTGTTATCAATGCGCAATACAGTTGTTATAATTTGACATAATTTTGCATGCTCAAGCATGCTCAACCTGAACAAGTCAAGAAAATGTAGGAAGCTATCTGGAAAAATCTTAGTTAACGATGGAGAGAAACACATAAAACGCATCCATTTCACCAAGCTTTATTTGTCGTGACAAATCAACTCCTTACAAAACATAAACAAAGGTGAGAAAGGTGCTTATCTTCGAGTGGATATTTCAGTGGATACAGTATGACAGTGATTAAGTGTAAAAATTTATTTCAAAGTGATCACCGAAACTTCAGATTCCATATAATAACTGCATTGAACATGTAGGTCAACTGATATGTTTTACGCCTTCATACCATCAGTATTATTTGTTCAAAATAACCCTTTTCATCTAACCATGTTCGCTTGTATTCACTTTATTATTATGATGATGATAATGATACGTAGTTTACATTTGCTTCTTGGTAATCAGATTGGATTCGACCTTTATCCACCATGGAGTTGGTTACCTATGTGGGATCAGGATGATACAAAATCGATCGTACATGTGAATAACATTTTCTCATACCATATGATAATAATCAGCTTGGCTATAATAATTATTATGTACATTTTGAATCCGAAACGTGAGTATTCTTCTGAACAAAATCTACGAGAATCCTCTGTGAAACAATGTTAGTCATGATCAGTTGACGAGTATCGAGCATGATCGAAAATCATTAAAAATGACAATCCAGTGATTGATTATTTTCCATACATTTATTTTTGTTTAAAAGTTGATATATTTTTCTAATGACAATAAATGTAACAATATCGTTTGAACGTCGTTCTTTTTAATAATTCCAGTTGTTGAAAGCCTTTATTCTTGTAGCGTGTCGTGTTTCACTAGCGGTTACCACGACTGACTAATTACGTTCCTGTAACAGAGAAGGTAAAATAAACCATACAAAAGATTATATTTGCTGTCAATTTCGTGGTTTCGAAAGAATATCAATATTGTGCCAGGAAAGAAGGGCGAAAAAAGCAGAGAGAGTGAAGCCATAAAGTACGCAGGACGTGGTAAGATAACGAATAGGCAAATAATCTCATGAGTAGAGGGGATTAGAAAGAAATAAATTGGTATAAATAACGTTGATTTACAGGATATAATAATGAAAAACACAGTGGTTTGATGCTTTTATGATACATAAATCTCTTGGACCGAGTGCACAGACGAGCAACGAGGTCGGTGAAAGGTTGAAAGATGGAACCGACAAAGACAGACTCCAGCATTCGGGTTTACACTTCCTGAGTTACAGGTGACCTGACTACGGCTTACAACATATTAAACACGCCAAGCCACTTCCACCATTGTTCAACAGCAATTACTAACTGAGTGTAGGTGTCATATTGAACAGCGTTGAGTTATTTTTTCGATATTTATTGACTCTGACACTTTAAGCAACCTCCTTATTCCATCCTAAAAATTTTTCAAACTACCAGGATCACGTAAAGCTTCCAACACTCAGCCATGTATTCAGCGGGTTGTATGGAGTATTGGTAATTTTGTGAAATATATTTTAAAAATAATCAGAGATTATTACTTCGTGTTATATTGTGCTTGAATACAAGCGAAGATTTTAGTACTTGTTACAAACTGAACGTGTACAATCAGAAGGATCTTTGTTACGAACGTTTGCTTTCAACCTAATTAAACTTTTAGCGATATGGGCGAGTAAGTTGTTTGTATGTTCGTGAGGCGGTTTCAACTACCTCTGGATATGAAAGAAAACCTCGTTGGGACTCGTTTGCTTTTGTTGTTTCGGCTAGATCTCTTTTCCGAATCTATCTCGGCCAGAACATTCAAGTCAACCACACGTCTGTTTACGACTACTGCCATAATGATGGGAAGAGTGAGGTCACACTAGACCATATACTTCTTAACTAAATACATTATCTCAATATCTTTCAGTAGATCACTGCATCCAAGCAGCCTGACAGTCAGCTTCACAGTCGATGAATGTTTCTAAAAGCGTTATTCCAGTATACACAGGGCACAGTTACACCACCACGTATTCTTTGGATGACTGGGACATATCAACTTTACCGAAGTCTCTCCTGATGAATCACACGTATTTGTTTATTGTGCGAACTAGCTGAATCAGTCAAAAGTCTCAAACCATGTCAGGGTGAACTTGCTCAAAATTGAGATTTAAATTTTTCAATATTTGGTTTACTTAAGCGGCAAGACTACAGGCCAGCCAACCATATCACGATTGAAGCATAAATGCTAGGATAGATTGCAACTATTTACCATAAAATAGTGGTTAAAAGTGTTCAAAACGCACCGGTATCAGCAAAATCAGTAAGCTTCATAACAAGGCTGCGTAATAGTGACCTCAATATAAACACGATAACACGTCACTTGTGAGCAAAAAGGTTAAAGCTCTCGTTCACATCTTTCAATATTTCCAATATCCAATGTCAGCAATTTCCAATATCTTATTCACGAGCTAGTATAACCTGATTGATTTCTTTGCGCTCGATTATTGTTCTTCTGTTGCGGTTTCAGGTATCTGATAGTGTTCAAAGGATAGTGGTCAAGAAACGCGATTGCTCTAATTCCCGTAAGTTGGCAGTTGTTTGTGAGAGTGTGGATAATGAGGCCAGCTTTCGCCAAAATTGACTGAGGTCAACAGTAGCAGCAGACGGATGGCCGTAGAAGTGGTCTCAGGATAAAAAAGTCAAAGAAAGAGAGAAAGTGTTGCATGATGAATCACACCTAGTTGTTTATTGTGCGAACGAGCTGAATCAGTCAAAAGTCCCAAACCATGTCAGGGTGAACTTGCTCAAAAGTGAGATTCAAATTTTTCAGTATTTGGTTGACTTAAGCGGTAAGACTACAGGCGAGCTATCCATATCACGACTGAAGCATAAATCCTAGGAGATACTCCATATATTGCTGGATGTATGAACTCAATATGCATTAGTATTAACTAAATCAATAAAGTTTTTGCCACCTCTGGGGAATATAAACACTATAAAACGCTCAAAATATTCTAAGGTTCCATTCACCCCTTGCTCACGAATTCATGGCTACATTTTGAACAAGTTTATTTGTCGAAGCACGGCAATATAACTTGAGTAATTCTAAATCGTCATGCATAAGTTATAGTGCCGTCATTAGTTCTATATAATAAATAGCGTATTGTAGATATCTTCATGAGTATTTCAGGTAGTGAAGCAGTACCATATCGTCCATTTAATATACATATACATATATATAAACATATATATATCGAAGTAAGACTATAAGATTGGTGCAAATACAATCTGACTGACAATTTGACATCTGGGTTTCCACTCAAAATTCAAAGGTCATATGTAACGACCGACTAAAGTGCCTGTGTGTTCAGCTCAAAGCGTTTAAAATGATGAAAACCTTTCTCCATGATGACATGAAAATTATAGCATTGAACGTATTAGGTACTTACGTTCTTTCCTGTACGCTTCAACATCTTAAAATGATAACCCAAAATTCTCAGTCCTGAAGTAAACCTTAACCTAAAAGCACTGCATTTCTTGGTCAAAATAAATTGCGTCTGCTCAGTTTTCGTCAGAAAGCCAATTAGACTTCAGGCTATGGAACACTGAAGAACTGTGTCTGGCGCTATTATTCGACGGAAACCCTTATCCTCAACCATTATTCCCGATACGAAATACTCAACTGCATATAAACGATATAAGAAGTTTTATTAGTCGATATGAGTTTATTGAGCGTTCGAGGAGATAGATATAAATAATGAATCTCAGGCTTAGTTGGATGTCATTGTCTCCTAGCCAAACCAGCGTGAAGGTAAGTCAATGAATATCCAGCGATTAACCGATCCTGGCTAAAGGTCACGGTCAACCAGCACACATCGATGAATTGTAATTCTACTAAGTGTTAATAATAATCATTAATAGCAATCATCAAGTCAGCTGTTTAATTCCTTTTTGTGAACTAAGTTTCATTATCATTTACCAAGTAAGTATCTTCCTCATTATTGTTTGAGTGAATGGTTGTCTGTATATGCTACATTTCGCCATTTGGAATATGAATCATTACTAACTAAAGCATAATTCCAGTTTAGAAAGGGTTCACCGTGAGCTGGCTGAATACGCTTCCATGATTCTTAAAATGCAGGCTGAGGATATTTCTATTGAGTGTCAGTTTATGTTTCAACTCATTTCAATAGCACTCTTTCAAAATACTTTTGAGTATACATGTCAGGATTTACTATGTAAGCGGGTTATGGTTAGACCAACACACAGTCACCTCCATTAAGTAGCGTTTGAAGATTTGAATTCTGTAGTAGGCAGTCTGCTTGTGGTATATTTCTGATCATTCGGTGCTCAATAGTAAATGCATGGGCTTTCATTTCCAAATTCCATCTCTCGACCACGGCTGTCGACGATCGATGAAGTGGCTTAGTGTGATCGTAGTCTTCTTCTTGCTTAATCGAATCGAAATGAAAATGACAGGTCACCTGTTTTTTGTACAACCGCACCTAACCCAATGGAGATGCATTTGAAGTGACGATAAATGTTTCGTTTGATGGAAATGGACTATCCTCGTCTCATTGCTCCCATACTACCTTTTTACTAGAAACCAAGTCGAAAAGTGACAATAATAGTTGTGTAAAGTTAGGAATAAATCTGGAGTAAAATTGAATGGCATCAGTACACGATCTGAGTGCTGTGATATTCGTAGGTGATAGTGATTGTATGAATAAAGCTAGACGACTCATATTTGCTTTGAAACCTTCAGTATGTACAGCATCGCTCAGACACCATCAGCAATAACCTACTGTGTGGAATGGAAACCAGACTCCAGCTGCTGAATAAATAAGGAATGGGCGATGGAGGTGGGTAGGACACTGTTTAATTAAGACCACAAGTGAGATACAAAATAAGCCTTCAGTTAGAGTCCTCAAGTCCAACGAAGAAGATGAATGCAAATAAACATTTGTAAGCCAAAATGAAAGTAATTCGGTAATCTGCATCAATAGTTGTAATAAGTCTACTCGGGCTATACGACAAAGACGTGACTTCTTCTGGCATGGCTGCACAAATGAACTCAAACAACAAAGGGAAATTACTCAATAGACTGTCTACATAGAAAGTAGATGAATATTTAGTGTTCACATGCTCGGCGCTTGCTATATAATATTGAGGAATTTTGCTTTTCAGACTATTTTACAACTGCGACTGGTATAGAAGCTTACAGATTGGTAAAGAACCTTGCATATCTGGAGACACTTATGCTACTTCCGTCTAACCGACTTAAGAGATTGCTGACGGATTATTTTTTGGCGTAATCACATTCGGACCAAAGGAATGAGAACAATTCGACAAATTAGTTCGTGACTCGATTCAAGTGGTCAGAGATTTCACAACAAAACTTCAGACACACAGTCTACACCTCAGTGTGATTTCAGTGAACAACTGCAACCTGAACTGTTTGACAGCCTGATTGCTGAAACAGATGGTCGTCATGTAGAGAAGCAGGTAACACAGATTATTTCTTGCTCCTTTCTAAAGTTTGAAAACTACTAGTTTACTTACGAAAATGTTGATGGTACATTTGACGTAACTGTGTAAAAAATGATGTTTGAATGTTTAATCGCAAGGCTGATGAAATGACATTCAAAAACTAAGTAAAATATATTTAAGATGTAGAAATAATAACAAGATACAAATGATCAA